GAGTTATATGGGATTGAACGTTTTGAAGGAATAATTGATGCTCTCACTCGATTAAATCTCTCATGTTCCTGCATTATTCTTATATGGCATGGATTCTGTTTTTATGTACTTGTTAATGGCCACATCGTGATTGTGGCAGACTAAATAAGGTCTGCTTTTTTTTTTCCAGGTTTCTCTTCTCAGATCCTTACTCAAGGAAATGAGGTAGGTTTTGGTTTGGAACCTGCCACTGTGGAGGCTGTCAAGACACCTAACTAAAAGATTGTTTACGATAGCCACAACCATCTCTTACATGCATCATTGAGGCACAATGCATCAGGTCTTGCATATTAATAAAACTCTACATTTTTGCACTTACAGATAAGTTAGGTGATTTAGTGTAGCATATGGTCTGACGATCAGTTTAGAGTGTGAGGAGACTATTATAAACATCTATTTACAATATTAACTTTTGAGCTTTCTTGTTTTATATGAAACAATTCTTGGAAAAATTACTATGCAGGGACATGTCGGTGGGGAGAGTTTGGGGAAGGAGGTCTTCTCTGGGGAGAATGCAGTGGCAGGAATTTTGAATGGTTTGAAGGAGATAATCTTACCGAGCTCTTATCAAAGGTTATAACCAAGGACTTTGGATAAATATGCAATTTACATGTGCATTTAAGTTTGGAGAAAAACTTTGAATAACTTAGAGAAGAAGACGAGAAGGGAGGAGCAGAGATAGATTCATGCTTTCGGATTTTGACTGGTGAGTTTGATCAGTTAACTCTGTTTTTTAACTTTGACTTCAATCTCGCCTTCTCGCTCTCTGTCAAATCTACAGTTCTGTTTTGACTTTTTTTTGTGGGTGTTGTGTCTGTTTTGACTTTGTTGCTCGTTTGCCATGTTTGATTGGATCAGTCAAAATCTCTAGAATCTCTTGTGGAAGTTGCAAAGTTGAAATCTTTTTTTTTTTTGAGAAATGGCTTGCAAAGTTGAAATCTTTTTCTAAAGTTATAAGTTTAAATCTTTATAAAGTTGAGATCTTTGTTTATGTAACAGGCTAAAGCCAAGAGAGTTGTACTAATAAAAGATCAAACAAGGACCATTGTTTATCTGCAAGATGACGAAATCGTGGGTGCTTTTGTTTGTTCTCATGTTCATCGTGTTGACTTCTCAGTTAGAGTGGAAAGAACAGCTTGAGAGTGAAATTGAGGCTACTCGTTTCTTGGATAAGAGTTTTGTTGAAGCAGTCTTCGTATAATAATTTCAACTGTCCCATAAGATCAGACTGATGGTTATTTATTAATGCTATGTAAACTGGAGTTTTATTATTTATGAACTCAATGTAGCATGAGTTAATATCAAATGTAGATGATTGATGGATCCACTAGATTCAAATAGCTTGATTTGGTTATTGAATAAAATATGATAAGACCAAATTAGGTAATCTTCATTACATTTGATGTGTATACATAGCTTTCTACAAGCAACACTCATGCTGGTTACAAAAATCAGAAGCCAGCAACACTCATGCTTGTTACTTATTAGTATTCTTTCTTGTAGACTTACAAAGAAGTCTACTTGACAGAGAAAAATATAACATAAGTTCAACACACACTAAAGACCTACAAATCCAATAGAAGACAACTCAAAGCAATGAGACACTAATACATAATAGAACATCCATAGCAATAAGACAACTCATAAGTTCAACACATAACACTAACACATCTAGAGCTTTTCACCACCCATTCTCCGTATACAACAGGTAGTTGAACCATTTCCTGCAAAAAAAAAATATGGTTTACATAATTAGCAAACCAAAATTTCATGTTTGATAAAATTATATCATAGACTTACAAGTACGTCTACAAATTTTAAGCTAACAACATAGACAAACAAAAAATTTGATAACTTCCTAATTATAACATATTATCTTCTGAAAATCATTCAAGACACTTATGATTAACTAACACACACTTTCATAAAAAAAGTTTTGAAAAAACTTAATGAATAATACACAAAACCACTTTTGATAGATTTTACATGGTAGACTACATATTCAATCTAAAGACCTGTAGACGTTTTATTCAGTTTACAGGTTGTAGACTGAACATTAGGTCTACGTTTAGGTTGGTTTCTGCAATTGCCAAATTCACGGGTTACTTTCTGTATTTGAAAAAAAAGGATTTTATACGAGTAGACTTACTTTTCAGTCTACATTTTTTAAAAGGTTGGTTTTGCAATTGACCAGAATTCGATCAGAGTTTGACTTTTAGAAGTAGACCTATTATGCAGTCTACACTTTTAAATTTATTTGAAAGAGGTTAGTTTTGCAATTGACCAAAGTTGACTTTCTACGAGTAGACAGAACTAANTTTCAGTCTACATTTTTTAAAAGGTTGGTTTTGCAATTGACCAGAATTCGATCAGAGTTTGACTTTTAGAAGTAGACCTATTATGCAGTCTACACTTTTAAATTTATTTGAAAGAGGTTAGTTTTGCAATTGACCAAAGTTGACTTTCTACGAGTAGACAGAACTAAATGTCTACGTAACTGTAGACTGCAGTAAAAGTGTACACTATAACCCGACAGGTTAGTTTTGCAATTGACCAAAACAAAATAGTAGACTTCTTATGCAGTCTACGTTTTTTTCTAAGTTTTGTAGACTGCATATGAAGTCTACACGTAAAGTAAGTTTTTTTCTAAGTTTTGTAGACTGCATATGAAGTCTACACGTAAAG